AGAAATCACTACATGATTTTAACCCTCTACCCTAAGATTGCGAGTCGAGCGCCCTAACCACCTGGCCATGCCGAGCCAGAATTGGTTAATTTGATACGTTTACACATAATAGTGAAGCATGGGTAGTATAAAAAGTTTTGAAACATGTTTTTTTTAATCTATTTTCAAAAACTTCTTGCACTTAAAATTTAAGCTTATTTAACATTTAAAAATAAAAAAAGTTTGTATTTTTATGGATGATTTAATGAGTGGAACAGAAATGCATTAATACTTAATTCACTTATCCACCAAGATAAATCATAATAATCTAATTACAATATATATAATTTATAAACGTATTTTTCAAAATTCGGGGATCATTGTTTGTCAAAGCACCTCTGCTTTGACCTGAGCCTAAATAAAACGAAAGCTAGATGGCCATAGTGATCGATATAGTCCTGATGTTGTAGAATGTATTTAAATTGGAAATGGTCGACAGTCATGCAAGTACTGCCTTTCTTACCTCATCTTTAATGAAACCAAGTGATTAAAAAAACCGTTTTCACTGTATAATATTTTAATACTTTAAGAACTGAATTGTTCAAGAACAATATTAGCCATCAAGAGCAACCATCATCCTAAATTCACCTGAAAATGTGCTTCAAAGACACCCACTTAACAATGAAAATGTATATGTTCCAGGTTCTTATTACTGTTCATAATAATTATCTGTGGCTATGTGTAGACTAATAGGCCCGGCCAGGTGGTTAGGGCGCTCGACTCGTAATCTGAGGGTCGCGGGTTCGAATCCCCGTCACACCAAACATGCCAGCCTTTGCCTTGTCCAAAGTCCAGGATGAGAAAGGAGGAGGTTTGGGCGCGGGGCTAGCAACTCCACCCCGTAAAAACCAACCTGCTACAAGTAATTGCAACAACACCTTCCGTTGGCGAGTTGTTGTTGCGGCCCTATGCTCTACTGGGAGTTTACAGGAATAAAAAAAAGTGTGTAGACTAAACTAAAGAATAAGCTGTTTTTTTGCAAAACAAATGAATACTAAGTATAGAAATATTTGAATGTGGACCATACGAAATTTTTAATCACGAAACATTTTACTGTCTGATACCAAACATTAGTAAATTCCAAAATTAATTTTAAATATACAAACTAACATTACAGTAACCTTAACTTACATAAACTTTCTCTACGGGTAACACTGCAAGAGCAAACTTAAGACTTTTTGCTTATTTAGAAGGTCATTGAAGTAACCATAACAATAAAATTAGGTCATAGGGTAAGAAAAGAGTCATTGAGCTGCACTACGTTAAGGTTATTGATTTGAAGGACAGGTAATATTTTATATATTACTTATGAAACTGTTTAATTACAACTAACAACTTCTTGTTAAAAGAAAATTGGGTCCAAAACTGTAAAGTGTAAAAACGTTTTACTACGGTTCTTTAGAAGGGGCAGATATTTAATAATTAATAATTGAAAATGTGAAATGCAAGTATAGAAGCCAACTCGGATATTAATGAAACGAGTTTATAATCAAAATTTAATAAATTAATAGAGAAGCATTAAAGTACTAAGATTATTAAAATAATTAATTTGAGCATTAAATTGAGAAAATTTATAAAAGAAACATTTTTGTAATAATGGGAGCTGTACAAAAGAGTGAATGAATTTTGAACTATGTCAAATGATTTGAACGAGTTAAATGCCTATAAATGGGTTAATTGTTATTTATGTGGAATAAAAACTCTTTTTTTTTAACCAAGTATTGTTGGGACATTAATTGAAACCTGGGACATAATTTCCAAAAAAACACAGACGGTACTTGCTTACAAGGGAGGCATTAATTGTTACTACCATGTGTAACCACGTATTTATTTGGCCATGGATGGAGTTCCTAGAAAACAGCTGTGAAGAGTAGGAACCAAAGTGTATAAAGTTAAGTGTTATATCATTAATTTCTACAAGTGTAGTTGTCTGTTGTGATACACATTTAGCGCTGTAGAATTTTGAGTAAAATCAAAACTAAGTCTCATCTGGT